TGTGAAGAGTGTGTGTGTGTGCGGGTTATCACGCCCAGTCTAGCTGTGAATCCAGCGCAAGAGCGTTTGTTGGCAGTAGACGCTACGCGGGTGTGCTGGTTTGATGCCCAGCAATGACGTTACATCTCACCGCTCGGACAGAAAGCACCAGAATGCTATTTCACACGATTAGCATGGCTTCTCCACCTTAGTTTTTCTTCTCTGGGCTGCGAGAATGGGAAACTTGCTATCATTTTAGAAAATGGTTCTGCTGAGTTGAAGAGATGCATTAACGAACCGAGAGGGAATAAATGAGGAACGTCAGTGAGAAGTCGTTGGAGTTTTACATCAGGGCACAGTTGAACCCTGCTCCTCATTGTACTCTTCATGATTCCAATTCTCATTATCCGCTCCATACCCTTGTTGACGACTGTTTCCCTCACCCATCTCCCTCCCCCTCATCTCGGTTCTTTGTATGTCCGGTTTTCCCGCTCCGTTACCTTCTTTACACTAAACACTCTCTCTTGTCTGGGTACCTCTCTCCCCTTTTCGTGCACTTACCTGCCCCCGCCCCTGACTCTGATATCAGCTATTTTGCCCTTGTGTTTCTTTGCCAACCTTCTCCACGAGGCCAGGTATCTACAAAGTCAGATTAGAGGGTCTAGTGTTGACTTCCAAGCACAGTTTTTCACCATTATGGAAAGTTTATCTATATAGGACAACTTACTTAATGACATCTTATTCGTACACTTGTGGCTTCTATTGGCTACGCGCTCTTACACATTGTACGTGATAGGCTAAGGCCCCCCCCGGTGGCGGCATTATCTAAGCCGGCTTGTACAATCACACACAGAGTCCGGGCCAGCTACACCAATCAGAGGAGACTGGGCTCTTGGTTTCATGACCAGCGAGCCGCTCGCGCCGGTGCTGCACAGCACCACAGGCAGTATGAGAACAATAAATAACTTTTTGAACTTTAAATCATGGAGAAATGTCACAAAATACAAATATGAACCTGACAATGAGTATAATATATCCTCTTTAAGCTCGCTTGTGGCTCTTTACTCCGTCCTCTTTTTGTTTCTGCATTTAAGTCCAAACCTAAAAACGTGATAGTCTTTTCCAGACACTATATCAGTCCCTCGTTACTCCATGATGTCACATATCTCACTATCTCCCCCGTGCGCTCTCCTTCCCTCGATCCCTTGATGAAGCCACTGCTGACGGAAACACATCTCCATGGTAACTGTAACCAAGCCCAACGGTTGCCTAGACTCAGGGTTTCTGCAACCGGGGAGAAGTGCTGACGCCACGGAGAATCTGTTTACTCACAGAGACACAGCGTACACCTCAATAAACGCACAGATAGTTTTATTTTAATAGCCTCCTCTGTCGATAGGATCCAGCTTATTTACTGTGTTTACGATGCGGGATCAGTCAATGGGAAACTGTGTAATGAAGTGTGTGTAGGAGTGTGTGTTGTCCTTGGTCGTGGGTAACAAGAGCTGGTTCTAACTGGTACCATTACAAGACTGGGAACAAAAGTGCTTTTTGAACCTACAATCAGCTGCTTAAGTGTGAATAATACAGTATGGATTGGAGGTGGAGTTTAGTAGTGTGTCATTTTGACAAAAGACAAGAATGAGTAAGGGTCTTCGTAAGTATAGGCAAGAGATACAACATGTATCATGAGATGAAAAGTCCAGCTCCGACCCAGGAATAAAATACATTAATAATAATAACAAGGACAAAACAGAGTTAATCGGATCCATTCGACATTTCAAACAACAAAGCTTTTCCTATACCATTGTTTCACCTCAAACTAAAATGAATTATTGTTTAGATTGTGCTTATTGTTGACTCTAATCCAATTAGAGCTTTATTGATATGATTGACATTGTGGACAGAACAATGGAGACAATTGCAACAAAAATGGCGACAAGCACGGATGAGATAGAAAACAGCTACTTTGATTTACTTCCCAACATAAACCAGCAACTACTGCAGTTTTGTGCTCTCTAAAAATGACCTTAAATGCCATTATTACTGTTTTATAAGGGCAAAATAACGATTATAATGAATATGATTTCAAGCGAGATGATGTGAAGAAAAACAATCCGTCAAAAAGATCCTAATTAGTACATCTTTCCCAAATGATGCAGCCCCATTTAACTGTATTTGAACCAGTCTTTTGCAATGTCTTCGCTGAAACATTCCTACGGCTATGATACATTTAATTTAGCTGACGCTTTCATCCACAGCTACTTACAATAAGTGCAATAAGCCATAAAGATACATACTCAGAACTACAAGGAAATGCAATACAATGTCAGTTTCAAGTGGTGTAAATCTGCTGAGAATGTTATGTATTATATATTTAGCGGGAGTTTGTCCTTACCCATGTTTAAGTCTGTTTTCCTACTCTGCTAATAAGAGAAGACTTTTTGAGGATATGATAAGACACAGCATCCATTAGAAGAATCAGAAATTAAATCAGGATCAATGATACGTGGAGGAGGACCACACATGCTCCTTCAGAGTTGTGCCGTTGACCTTGCAGAGCGCTAGCAGAGGTCAACTCTCTCTCATCCGTCTCCATCCGTCTCCATCCGTCTCCATCAGTCTCCATCCGTCTCCATCCGTCTCCATCAGTCTCCATCAGTCCCCATCAGTCCCCATCCGTCTCCATCCGTCTCCATCCGTCTCCATCCGTCTCCATCAGTCTCCATCCGTCTCCATCAGTCTCCATCCGTCTCCATCCGTCTCCATCCGTCTCCATCAGTCTCCATCAGTCTCCATCCTTCTCCATCCGTCTCCATCCGTCTCCATCCGTCTCCATCCGTCTCCATCAGTCTCCATCCGTCTCCATCAGTCCCCATCAGTCTCCATCCGTCTCCATCCGTCTCCATCAGTCTCCATCCGTCTCCATCAGTCCCCATCCGTCTCCATCCGTCTCCATCCGTCTCCATCCGTCTCCATCCGTCTCCATCCGTCTCCATCAGTCCCCATCAGTCCCCATCAGTCTCCATCTGTCTCCATCCGTCTCCATCCGTCTCCATCCGTCTCCATCCGTCTCCATCAGTCTCCATCCGTCTCCATCCGTCTCCATCAGTCTCCATCCGTCTCCATCAGTCTCCATCCGTCTCCATCCGTCTCCATCCGTCTCCATCCGTCCCCATCAGTCTCCATCAGTCTCCATCAGTCCTTCTCCAGTCTCTTTGTCGTAGCTGCTCTATTGTCCTCTGATGGCCACATGACTCACAGCGACCTTCACACCCACCCTCCATCTGATAACACACACACACACACACACACACACACACACACACAGACACACACACACACACACACACACACACACTGTGTGTGTGTGTGTGTGTGTGTGTGTGTCTGTGTGTGTGTGTGTGTGTGTGTGTGTGTGTGTGTGTTATCAGATGGAGGGTGGGTGTGAAGGTCGCTGNTTGACATCAAAGCTCCTGCTCTTCCCGTGTCTCCTTCCTGAGTTGGTGACTCCCACTACATTGCTACACAGAAGTTTCCCTTACACACACTACTAGTTACCTTAAAAGTAGTGCTTTACTTTTAATAAAATATTCACTGCTGAAAGTAATTAGATACACTCCTAGTTACATTACTTTTAGATAACTGTAACATCACCTGAGATGCACCATAAATCACATGACAAATAACAATATCAAGTTAAACCTCATGAGATCAGCACAAATCCTTAATCTAAGGACAGTTCTGAACAAAGACCTCTGTTTCTGCTCTTTGTCTGAACATTATGTTTCCTTTAGCTCAGTTTCATCAGAACTCTGGTCCAGCTTCTGCGCTGTATATTGCTCAATGTTTCAGAAAGATGGCGATTCCACCACGGAAACGACAACATGTCCTGCACGATGTACGCTGCGAGAAGTTTATCTCTGCTCTGAGACTCTGACATTCCTGCTCCCCTCCTCATCCATGAACTCGCGAGCGTAGTGCAAACGTAAAGGGACGTTTTATTTATTTGGCTGTCCTCCTGTTATGCAGATAGTTAAAGGTCTTAAATAAACGCAAGTATCAACATCATGTCATGCTTATTAACTGTAATCAACAGTAACTGCGTTACAGACACATGTAATCTGATAGCACATAACCCCCCACACTGCACATGACTGACCGGGGAAGTCGAGCTAGTACTACTGCAGAGTGCCACTTTATAGTGGTAGTAACATGAGTCTAGTTAGAAAGTCCAACGTCAAGATGCCATTATCTGCTGCATAACACCTCTACAGAGAGTCCTGCATGTCTCCTGCCACTGGACTACAGGCGTTTCTTGGAAACTGTCCTCTAAAGAGGAGAGCAGTTCAGTTTCTCCAAAGGCTGAGTTTATGAGCTGATCTCAGACCAGTCACTGCAGATCACACACATCAGCAGCTGCACATTTATAAGTGATGCAAATCTTCTTTTTTTTTTTCTTCCACACACACACACACACACACACACACACACACACACACACACACACACACACACACACACACACACACACACACACACACACACACACACACACACACACACACACACTACACTACTACTACGTACGTACTACGTACTACGTATACGTACGTACGTACGTACTACGTACGTACGTACGTACGTACGTNGTAGCAATGTAGTGGGAGTCACCAACTCAGGAAGGAGACACGGGAAGAGCAGGAGCTTTGATGTCAAACACTGATGGTTTATTTGGAGCTTCGGCCAGAGGATTCACATCACAAGTCACAGCAGTCACGGTCTGACTGCACTGGAGAGTTGCCACGTCAATTCTGAAGAACTCTACCCCAGACCCATGTATTTAGCTAGTTCAGAGAGAATAATCAACATGCTGCATAACAAGATAGAATCATAACACGTCTATCAGCTGACGCCAACAGGCAGGAACATAGAACCATAACACCTCTATCAGCTGACGCCAACAGGCAGGAACATAGAACCATAACACCTCTATCAGCTGACGCCAACAGGCAGGAACAGGGAGACAGAACACTGAGAGCACAGCAGCCAAGGTTACAGGTGCCTGTGCTCAGTCAGGACAGAATTAACTGATAAACTGGGTCAAAGTTATGGGCCTTGGAAAATATTTCCCCAACAGTGTGTAATGCATTTTTCTTTTAGTAACTACCCTAACACTGGTCATGTGACCCTCACCTCACGAATCCCTGATGTAGCGCTGCTGTGCGTTCTTCTTATTTCTATTCTGCAGAGGAGGACTGTGGCGTGGTGACAATCAGCTAGAGACAACAGGAGGAGGATTAGTGCTAAATATTGTGCACACACTGCAGATTGAAGGCACACCTGGCTGATCTGATTACACCACGATTGCGCTACACCTGCAATAATAATTATGTGTTTTACTTTCTGGATACAAATTGCTCTACCAGGTGGACAAGGGGTCAAAGTCAGGTCAACTGCTTGTCTTTAAAGCATCTGACTAAAAGGATCTTGGAAAATGGAGGGGCATTAAAGTGTCATTATCTCGTAGCCATAAGTGGATCTAAAGTGCTAGGTAGTTGCATAAATGTCTGTTTTGATGCTGTTGATCACTGATTGGTTTAAGTGGTTATCTTATTTAATCCACTTCACAAAAGCTTTGACATCAGACTTCCCATACCTACCACAAATTAGTGTCAAAGCCACAACAGTTTGTGTCCCTGAGTCTTTTTAATGCGGCGGGCTAATTATATGAGTGAGGATGTAAATGAGCAAAGCTGTGGTTGAGTTCAGTTGAATGCACCGCCGCTAATTAAGACCTGATGTTAGCTTTTTAAAGCTGCATCTTCAGTATGTCTGATAGCAACGTACATAGAGCAACATAGAGTGTGAACGTTCTCTGCTGCTGATCCTGATGTGGTGGGAAGACGAAACCATCTACAAGCTGTCTTCCTGCAGGGAGGAAGTTGGATGATAGTAAATAAATAAATACTTCTGCAGGATTGTTGCATGAGAGGATTGTTGCATGAGAGGATTGTTGCATGAGAGAAGCATGTGAAATCACATTCTGCTGCTAATCCTAGTGCCTGCTTCAGGACTGATTCCTTCTTCCCCTTGCTTATCATAAGAACTTTGTATTAAGCATGGGCAGTGGTGATAGAGACAGCATCACCTACAAAACAATTAAAGAGGCCCTATTCTGCTGTTAGGGGTTTTCTCTCTCCCAGGTGTTAGTGCATGTAAATGGTCTGCATAGGCTGACATCCCTATGTTCCCTCCAGAGGGATTTTCTGCCTCAAACGACTCCATTGGACTCCTTTGTTAAATTCCTGAACATAGTGACATCACTATATTTAGCTTCTATTGACTAGCGCTTCAACTCACTGTACTTGTTAAGCTAAGGGGCGGGACATCTCTAAGGTTGACCAATCAGAGCAGACTGGGCTCTGGATTCAGACAGAGGGTGAAAAGAGGTGCTGCAGCACAGGCATTAAAGCATGGAGACATGTCACAGTAGAGACACTACATACTGATATACACCTGAACATCAGCAGGAGAGGACTCTTTAAAGTA